TGTATGTGTGTATGTATGTGTGTGTGTGTGTGTGTGTGTGTGTGTGTGTGTGTGTATGTATAAATGGGTTCAGATGAGGAAAAACAATTGCTGCGGCGTATAAAAACCTACATTTTCAGTAATATAACCAACATGAAATGAAAAAATCAGAGATTCTGCTCGTGAAAGAAAAAATTAGTCAAATATGTATAATACATTTAAGCTCCATTTGCCTATTAATACACACATTTCAATAGCCCTTAATCTGTGTTCTGTGGTGATTTTCCATCCTCAGCATGAAGTTATTAATGTTTTCAGAAATAAAAAATTATTTATTATCATTTTAAGGTTTGATCTGTAAGATAAAAATCTGAATTTGAACTTACACCAGGCAGTGACACGATGAGCTGAACCCTCTGCTCCCATATCATCCTCCAGAAATCCCCTATGGTGCCAGGCAAAGGATTCTGGGTAATAATGAACTCTCTCCTCATCCTGTACCCCTAAAAAACAAAAAATAAGAGGGGTTAAAATCTAGAAAGTATTAAAAAGGTTATATACAGTATATATTAAAAACAATATGAAACATGGCAGGATTTTTCAATAATCTCTCTATTGATGGTCATAGTTTAAACGTGTTTTCACAGGAGAATCAAATAATGGCAGATTCTTTTATATTTGTTTAATATTATACAAAATAAAGATGGAGAGAGCATTTCTTCCTTCCTGCATGGAACCTGGAGATTGTTTGATATTCAAAAGAAAATCTTAACCCTTTAACATGCTGCTAAAAAAAAAGTTCAGGTATGGGAAACCTAAAATGAGCAGAATCTGTAAAATAAACAAACATTGATTCTGGTTGTAATTGCTCAAAACAATTTTTTAAAAATCCTCTCCCTTTTTCAAGTGTAGATGTTAAATGGAATAAATTATGGAAAGTAGTCCCAATTCTGATGGACTTTACATTGTGACATTTAGAAAAATGTGATAACAGATTAGCTCAAATTCATGATAGTTTTAAAAATACTTTGCATCTTTAAATCTTTTGTTTGGTATTATAAAACCTGAGTTAATAAATCTTCTTACAGAAACGAATGAGGCCTTGATGTGGTCCAGAGATTCCTCAGATGAGTCTGACATCAGAGACCTGTCGACTACAAAAAGAGAGAGAGAAAGTAGGTTTGCTTTACAGGTTTTAATAAAGACGTTTGACATATAAATGTGAGATTTGAAACATCTGGATCCGACTCACCGGGAATCACAGAACAGTCTCGGTTCTCCAGAGCTGCAGAACCACAGACCAGCTACAGAAAAGGTAAATAAGACCCAGTAAGAGAGAAACCTGGAAAACATGGTGTTTTCTCAGCTTTTGCAGCTGGAACAGTCAACATTCAGAACCCAGGGATCCAGAATTAAAATATACTGATATTATTCTGGTTACAAGGATAAATGAGGCATTTGTTATGATGAGGTCAAGCTGCTCACCTTAAAAAAAAAAGTTGAAAATAATAATAATTTTTTATTCATTTATATTATTTTTGTTTATTTATATTATTATTTTTATTATTTATATTATTATTTTTATTATTTATATTATTATTTACTATTTATTAATATTTATAAATATGATTTATTTATTATTATATAATAAAATATAGTCATTTTCATGTTGAAAAAAGGAAACGGTAAACTTACACAAGGGGTAAAACTGTTTTATGATAAATTCCCAATTGGGTCAGATAGTGTTTTAGTTTTAATTTTTTTTTTTGCCAGAAAAGTGGATGTGTGTCTTTGATTTCTGGCTGAATCTTTTGTAAAGGGGATCATAACAGGATTTAAGTTTTTTTCCTCTTGTAGACATGGAAATGCATTTATGTTGATGTCCAGAATATTTCTGTGTATTCTGACTTCTACAGTTCATTAATTAGAGGAAAGACCAAAACCCAGAATTTATTTTCCTACATGTAGCTCTACTCGTGGCACACATCTCTAAATACAGTAACACAGAAACTGGCATTTAAAGAACAAATGCTACATATACCAATTTTATATAAGAAGTTTGCTTTAAAGAGGGTTCTGGGTTCTAGTCCCGGGGGAACCAGGACCAGAGGGTTTGCCCACTTACAAAGAATGTTTATTTTTCCTCATCAGATGGTTATCAATTTTTATAAATTCATATGATGTGATTTTCTGGAATTTTCTTTGGGATTCTGTCTTTCACTGTTAGAATGTACATATGATTAAAGTTATAGATCGTTGCATTCTTTGTAAGTGGGCAAACCTGCAAAATCAGCAAGGGCTCAAATACTTATTTCCCCCACTGTAAGTGGTTATGATAATGGATGGATGGAACATATAAAATAGGCATATTTCTCCATATTCTGTAGCTGAGAGTTGCTGGTTAAACTCCCACCTGGAACTGCTCCTGCATTTGGGTTCCTCCAGTCGTTTGGGTGGTGAACAGCTCATCAACGTATTTATGCAGGTGAGTTTCCTCCACCTCCGTTTCCCCGAACAAAATGGCTTCCACCAAAGCATCGTAAATGAAGACAAACTGCTCCTGTGTCCAGAGGAAAAAAAGGTTTAAATCCCTCAGAAAAGCATCAAGCCTTCACTACACCCGGATAGCAAAAGATGTGTCGAGTAATGATAAAAAAAGTAAAATTTTTGGGATAATTTATGGTGGATCAACCATCAAACCATCATCAAGCTCTAGCCAATGATGAAAAGATGGAATTAAATCAGATCAAATGTTGTGTATTTGAATTTTAATTATTGAAAAGCCAGCGACTCAGAAATGGTGAATAACGTTTGTTGCTGGTCGGCTCGTTTCTTTGCAGCTTACTTCTGATTTAATTCCAACTTTTGTAACTTTGGGGATATTACACAAAGCCATGTTGAAACTTTCAGTTTTTGCTACCAATATTTGGTTGTTTTAACCCTTTAAAGCCTGATCCAAGAATAAAACAAAACAGAAAATTACTTTTTTTTTGTTTGAATTCCTTATTTGGCTTTTAAACAAAATATGTAAAAAGAAAAAACTAAAATAACGTTTTTATATTAATAATTTATTAATATGTGATAAGTCCAGATTATTCTTTGTGTATCTTCTGCCCCCTGTTATCAGGTGTATCTGATTGTGTTCAATAGGATTTAGAGCAAAGTTTTTACCATTAAATTATGCAAAAGGAGTCAGACGCAAAACATTTCAGAAACCGTACCAAATATGATGCATTTGGCTTTACAGGGTTAAATAAAATAAAATGTTGTGTAGTGGAATTTTAACTATAGAAAAGCCAGCGACTAATAAATGGTGAATAACGTTTTTTGCTGGTCGGCTCATTTCTTTGCAGCTTACTTCTGATTTAATTCCAGTTTGTAACTTTAGGGATATTACACAAAGCCATGTTGAAACTTTCAGTTTTTGCTACCAATATTTGGTTGTTTTAACCCTTTAAAGCCTGATCCAAGAATAAAACAAAACAGAAAATAACTTTTTTTTTGTTTGAATTCCTTATTTGGCTTTTTAACAAAATATGTAAAAAGAAAAAACAGAAATACATTTTTAATATTAATAATTTATTACTATGCGATAAGTCCAGATTATTTTTTGTGTAGTCTTCTGCCCCCTGTTATCAGGTGTATCTGATTGTGTACAATAGGTTTTTGAGCAAAGTTTTTACCATTAAATTATGCAAAAGGTGTCAGACACAAAACATTTCAGAAACCGTATGAATCAAATATGAAACATTTGGCATTACAGGGTTAAATCAAATAAAATGTTGTGTAGTGGAATTTTAACTATTAAAAAGCCAGCGACTAATAAATGGTGAATATTGTTTGTTGCTGGTCGGCTGGTTTCTTTGCAGCTTACTTCTGATTTAATTTCACTTTGGGCACTTTTGAAGTAACTTTTGGGATATTAGACAAAGCCATGTTGAAACTTTCAGTATTTTGCTACCAATATTTGGTTATTTTAATCTCTGAAAACGCGTCTGATGTCGACGATGTTATGAAAAAAGACACAAAGAGAAGTGGCCTGTTCTCTTAAATGAAATTCAAGAAATGTATTCATTTCGGATTATGGGTTGTCTTTTGACCTTGCTCAAGTATAGAAAAGATTAATTATTAATTATTAATTATTCCTCAGATTTCTCCATCTCTCACTAAAAGGACGGCACCCAGACCAGTTTGAGTCAGTTTGAGTCTCCATTACTCCCACAGTTCTTACGATGTTTAACCTGTATCAGTACAGTTAGTTATAACTATCCCCGGGTTAAAAATAAAGATAAAGATATGGGTTATGGGTCGTCTTTTCAC